CAAAATTAGGGCATGTTTTTTTTGATTTTGATAAAAAAATATTTAAAATGTGTTTTTGGAAGGGGCTATGGCCCTTCCTGGTTGTAAAGTTTTGAGTTTGAATCCGTATGAATGCAAAAAATATTGTTGGAAGAGTCAATCTTGATTGGATTTGACAATGCTTGAATATGTCTCGCTTAAATAATCATATGAAAAAAATGTGTTTTTGGCCATGTGTTTGAAAAATAAAAAATAAAATCTATTCTAAAGAAACCATAATATTTTTTTTAAATATTTTGTTACCTTGTGTTCTGTAAAATTAGAGAGGAGGCGGAGAAATTGCTTTCATTAATCTCTTGAGATATGTTTTTCACAATGATTCAAACAATTTTTTTTGGGTCAAAACTTGATCTAAAAAATAAAATCAAACAGGCTTATAAATATTTTGAATAATATTTTTTTGCACGTTCATATCTTTATTGAAAATATTACTAACAAAGATATTTACCCAAAAAAAAAAGATCATACCTAAGTTTGGTCCTTAATATCAATCAATATTTAATATTTAATTTTTTACAAAAAATGATGTAGTATTTAATATTCACTTTGATTATCTAAAACCCAAGGAGATATTTCACTACACATTTAAACTTGACGTCGACAACGTGTTCTAATGAAAAATGATTATTTGCTTGATCCTGATGTGAAAAGCAAAGAAATATATATAGGTAGGGGACCCCCCAAACAAAACCAGCTTTACTATATCTGTAGTGCATCCCTATCCTAATGATCATAGTACAAAGTGCCCAACAAATTAAAATCTCCCAAATAATAATGATAATATTATTATCCATTTTTTTAAAAAAATAAACAAAAAAAAAAACATTCTGGTTTGGTGGGTAGAACCTCATTTTCACTTGTTGTTTTAGAAGGATGACCTAAACCTAATTTTGGGAGGACCCCTTTCAATTTCATCCTTTTGTGTTAAGCCTTGTGATCATAGCTAGGGACATTGATTTCAGTATTTGATTATGACAATTGAACTGTAAATTTATTTCCTTTCTTTTATTATTATGGCCTTGGAATTAAACCACCAAATTAAAACTTAACTCAATTTCCCTCCTTCTAGCATGATTGTTAGAAAGTTGTAGTGTGTTTGAAATTAGGTAAAAATACAAAACAAAGAAAGAAAGGGAGGGTAAGAAAATATGTACTAATCTTCTGTAGCAAGTAAGAAATCAAAATTAGGTATTCAAACTAGTTTGAATTTTAGTGTCAAAAAATCTTTAAAGGAAAAGTTCTACATAAACACTAAGGTTTATGCGGTCAAAATAGGTGGATTAAAATTGAATTTTTTTTATAAATTAATTGCAGTGTAATTTTTTGTTGTGTTGATTAGTTGGATTTATCTCCCAACTCTCTCAGCCTAGTTTCTCTGTGCAAGGAAGTTCTCGATTGAAATTTAGTTTAAATCATCACTTATAAATTATTAAAAATATTATTTGAATGATCTAAATTTTATTATTTTTAATTAATTTTTAAATTTTTAATTAAAATTATATTTTTAAAAAATAAAAATATCTAAATAAGGAAAAATAAAATATATTGAAATTAATTAGACTTACACCATCAAAGAAGATATGTATCAATACAAATCTTGCTATTACGATTATTTTTCTTCTCAATGTGACAACCCAAGAGAGTCCCACATGCATAAATGGAGAAACATTGATATATCATTTATATGACATTTATTATATATTTATTATTATTTAATTTAATAGTATGATTTCCTTTTACTAGTTTTTAACATGTAAATATATGATATTAGTTTTTATATTTTTTATACTTAATATTATCATAATATTAAGCATGACTTAATCTAGCATAGGTATTAATTAAGGCAATGAATAATTACAAACTTAGTTAAAAAGGGATATATTAAATTAGTTAAATTACAGTGAATTAAGCATGAAGGAATAGATTCCATAATGCTGCCTGCACCCACCAAATCTATCATTTGTGCCCTAAAAAACAGTAATTTCTGACAGAGACAACATCATCAGAATAAAAATAATTGATTAAAAATTGTAACAGAAAGTAAAAGTTATCACTAATTAATTATTAACTAATTAACTAATAGAATTAAAAATCTTTTTTATTTGGATACCAGCAATTCCACTCTGGATATGCTCCTTATCAATCTTTATGTTTCATTCATTAGTTACCATTTGGAAAAAGCCAATAACTAAATAAATAGTTTTTAGTTGAAGTTATGCTTAAAATAAAGGATAATATAACTTTTAATTATTAAATTTTCTCTCAATTATTAATTTAGTCCATGAACTTTAACACACTACGGATCAATCCTTACAGTTTATTACATTAATGATTTTCAAGAACAAGAGTTGCATTGATAATAAATTATATAAGGGCTAAGTTATTACAAATTAAGAAATTATAAGAACTGAATTATTTTGAATCAAAATTGAGATATTGCATTGATAATTGAGGGAAAAGTTTAAAACGCAGAAATTACATTTTCCTTGAAATAACTAAAATTAAAATATGATTGAAATGCTTTTTCGGAGTACTTATTAAAATATATATTTTTGAAAATTTTCATTAATTTTATAAGAATATTATGAGAATAACATATATGAGAATAATTTAATTAAAATAGTTAAAAATAGAAATAAAAAAATATTGCAGGGAGGAATCAAACAGCATGTACGACAATAAATAGATTAAAATATGAAAGGATAAGTCACTTACACGCCGAAATATGATTGGGAGATTGTAGGTTTGGGGAGACAAATACTGTCAGATTAGCAATTTTTTATTACTGTTTCTTTAACTTATTTTTAATTAAAAATAGAGCAAACATTTTATAATACACGTTATGATGTGAAACTATTCTGTGTACAGCACCTCATTCAAAGCATAATTAATAATAATAATAGTAATAATTAAATAACAGTAATCAGCTTAGCTACAATATAAAATTAATGGTTAAAGCTGCAAACCAGAAATCTGGATTTATGCTAATCAACATCTCACAAAAAGATATACTCTTCTGCTTTTTTAAGAGAGGAAAAAAAGGTCTCTTTTTCTAACCTGGAACTCCAATACAAATCACTTTTCATGTTCACCAAATGGGAAAATTATATTTGTATTTAAAATATTTATGTTAGATTCTCTCAAAGTATTAATCTAATTCTAAAGATTAAAGTTACAACAACAATTTATTAAGATATTTTGAAAAATTACAAGCAATTATAATTTTTAAAATGTGACAACTAGTTATTGAGAAAATTATGTAATACAAATTCCGTCTCAAATTATAAAGTACTTTTTAAAGAGTTGTTTATCTAAATTAAAATTTTATTAAATGCACCAACTTTAATATTATCCTTTTTATTTTTATAATTAATCTCCGTCCCTTCTTTTTTTAGTATATTAAATAATAGATATTTTTAAAAATTTATATTCTTATTTTTAAAAAATAAAATTATTAAATATATTTAATAAAATTTAATGATATATTAAATTTTATTTAAAAGTATTTTATAATTTAGGACGGATGGAGTAATATTTTAATTATAAAATGTTAACATAAATAGTTGAAGTTTTGGGTTTATAGATGTCATTTGCTCTCAGGAAATGAATTATAAAAGTTGGTGAGATGATCTAGCTTTTTGATTCATTGGGTCTAGTCAGAATTTCACCACTTCCAACCTGGGATGCTTTTGATGCTCAATACTTCCATATAATTATTTTAAAAAATGTCTTTTTTTAAAAGGGTTGTTCTAACTTCCATCCCTAACCTCTACATTTCACTGACAAAGTCACAATTATTTTAGGTTCTTATCATTGAGGACAGTTAGTGTGTATGACAATTTATTCTTCTTCAACTCTTTTATCTCACTAGGTCAGTCACAACATTGGATTTTTGTTTAAAAATTTTTTTTTCCCCATTATACGTTGTTTTAAAATTTTTTTGTTAAGGAAGCAGAAATATGAAAAAAAAAATCCTAAACGCAATAGAAGATATTTCAACCCCCTAAAAAAATTAGAAATTGCTGTATCAGCTCAACAAGTAGTGTAGAGTTCAAGTTCTAAATGTGCATATATAGTTAGTTAAAAAAATTTTGTTGATAGAACTTTGCTATCTTTATAAGTTTATAATGTAATTTTGAGTATTGGGTGGTTTAAGAAATTCTCATAGCGTCTAACTCTCCATATTTGATTTTTCTATTAAAAAAATTGGTAAAATATTGAATGAATAACAGCTAAATTTCCAACAAAATTTTCTAAAAAATGAATTATAAACATCAATTTATAAAGTTATAAAGAAAAATATCAATTACAATTTAATAGGTACAATTTAAAATTAAAATATTTTATCTATAATTGAAATTCTTGAATTTATAATTATTTGAATCAATAATTTTAACTCATTTTTCAGAAACTTTTGATAGAAATCAAACTATCATTAATTTAATTTTTTTTTGAACCTATCTATCATTTCTATGTAATTTTTTGACGGAATTACACCCAAGTTTTCACAATTTATTTAAATATCACAAGATTTATTAATAATTTAATAAAAATGGCAATTATTTTTTTAACCTCAAAATAATTCTCCCCATTTTTTTCCTAGAGAGAGAGGGAGGGGTACTATTTCTGGTGGAGATAAGAAAATTAGGAAATTACAGAGAAGTCCAAGAAATGCCAGAAATTATGGTTGACCATAACTCTCTCTCTTTCAAGTTAACCAAATGTCATAATCATTGTAATTAGACTTTTTCTGAGAGACAAAAGGATGAGACCCCACAAATACAGCTGGTTACAACACAAATATGAGAGAATCATATCATATCTACCAGATTACGCCATTTATCTCTCCCCACATGACCTTTAATCGCATTTTGATCCGCACGCACCAGAATTCTCACTTCCCCTTGATTGTGATGTTTGAAATTCAATCACACACCTCACAACACCAACACAACAAGAAGAACAACAACTTTCACCTTCAATTAGCATTATAATTATATATAGTATCTTACAATTGGTGCACCAGTGATAATAATTTGCACCTCAGAATAATACAGATATCCAGAGAGAGAGTCCTAAGATTTTACATTGAATAGTTGTACAATTTAATAAAAAATATATATGGAAGAAACAAAAAAGGGTTCTACAGAAATAGACCTAGAAATAATAATTCATGGGGGTTGTTGGAATTAAATCTCTTGTTTGTATACAACCAGTCTTCCTTTCTAACCCTCAATTCAGGCGTAATGGTAGGTCATTAGGGTTCAACTTTCAGATGGGTAACTTGATTTGAACCTGCAACGGACAAAAACAACAAACCTGATATATGAATATAGATTATACATATCAATTTCTTGGGTGTAATGAAAATGATATTCCCAATAAATTCAAAACTTTTCTCTTTTCTCCTGTATTACCGTTGAAGTTCTGGGAATGACTGGGTGATTTTCCATGTCCAGTTTGGCCGAATCCCATCTGAACAATGGTGTGAAGGTCATCCTCACAGAATGCTACTGGAAACTGAAAATTAAAGGACAAAAAAAAAAAAACTAATATTAGTGTGCTTCAAATTATATTACATTTATAGTATTGATTACATTACAGCAGCACAGAACAGAATATGAACTCAGTAAAAAAAGGACGCTTTTAGAGGCACTCTAATGGAGTTAGAGTACAAATTGATTTTACCTGAGAACCACCTTCATTAAAGCCATTAAGTGGAGGCAATTGCATGCCCATGTTTTGGCACAGAGAAGCAGTTTCTAATGGGTCTACTGTGCTGTGGGACACAACACCATTAAGAATGTTATTGTGGATTCCTGGGTTTTGCTGAGCGTGCTGCTGCCCATAAAAGGCTTGTGCTGAGGAATCTAGAGGGAATATTGAGTGTGCCAAAGAGTTATTTGACTGAAACATCTGGAAAAGAAAAATAATCCCGATTCAGCAAGATCAAGAATTTTTGTTGATGGAAAGAGAAAAATCATTGTGGGGTCTTAACTCTTAAGACTTACATCTTTTGAGATTAGATTGTCAATGTTGAAGTCCAGCCTGCTGTCCACAGAGGCCAGTTTCATAGATAAAAACTGCGAATAAAGGGGAAACAAAAATAAATAAAGGATGCTTAATCAGGAAGAAAAACTAGCATGATGAGCATCTTATCATCTGAGTGAGATGCTTATAGGCAAAGACTGGTTTTACCTCAACTTGACGCTGCAATGACTGCACATAGTTTATAATTTCATCAAGCATAAGTGCTTTGCCAGTGACCTGCAAAAAGATCATACCCAAATTAGTAAATTAGTAAAGGAGCTCATACGTAGATAATATGAACTTGTGGTTCAACTTTTCTGAATACCTTATTGCAACCAGGTACAAGATCTTGAAGAAGCTTCATCCTCTCACTGATTTTTTCTCTTCGGACCTATTTAGAAGTAAGTTAGTCCAATGTCACAACAAAGACTAAACCTATCCCAAGGGTTAAAGCTAAGTCAGGGGTCAAAAAATATCTCTCAATAGTTTTTTATTTGATTTTTCCAAAAATCAGCCTGAGATTAAATTCTTAACGTGCCAAGTTGATACATCAGAATATGCCATTTAAGAATCTTCCTGGAAAAATCATCGCAGATAAAGTCCAATATCTCACTGTCATAACCAGAAGAAAAGTCAAGGAGAATTGATCTGTTGTGATACAGTGATTCTTACTCTTTCTGCAAGACTGTGGCTGTCAGTGGCTTGGCCTCTTCTTGCTCTGACATGAATGTAGTCTTTTGGAGGTTCAGGAGGTTTTGATGAGTTACTCTTGGTCTGTTGCTTCTCATCTCCTCCATTGCTAGTACCTCCTTTTGAATCTTCCTCCACCTTCACAGGTCCATTATCATGTCCTTCACCTTCGTTTGGCTTGCTGCGCTTTGCATTTGAATCTTCATTGGTTTCATTAGCCTGAAAATGGGAACATCATTTTGGTCTTAAGAATTGACCAACTCAATCAAAACCCGAATTCAAACAATTCTGATTTGAAAATTGAAACTAGAAATCACATTACCTTGGGAGTAGGATTGGTTGAAGTTGAAGTTTCTCTGGTTTTTCCCTTGGAAGAAGCTTTTCTTTTCCTTGAATTCGCATTCACCCCATTTTCCCCATTTGGGGTTTGCTCTGAGATTGTTGATTCCTCTTGAGAATTCGCCAATTCTGTTTGAGATCCACCAAGTGCTTTCAGAACAGGACTACTCGACACTCGAGCGAGCTTCTCATTCTCCATCGATGGAGTAGATCTTACAGACAACTGACCGTTGTTCCTGCCCAGTTGGCATGTTCTGCCATTGAAGCTCCTGCTTCCAAAGCAAGAAAACTTGGCAGCTCTCTCCGCAAAACCAGGATCAGATGAGAATTCTGCAACATTAGAATTCAAAACCATCGATTTACCTAAACTGGGCAAGTTCTCTTTCAGCAACTGGTTCATCATGTTCATCTTCGGAGGTGAGCTCAAGGGAGTACTATAACACGAAGTATCAGTGCTATTACCGCCATTAATGTAAGGAGATGCACCAATGTTCCCCAATTTTCCTATCAATTCCCTGATCGTGAAATTCTCGTTACTGGGCATAACATTGGAATTGGACGCCACGGGGGAAGAAACGATGGAGCTGAGAGCAGAATCGAATTGAAGACCATGATGATCCGTTGACTTATCCCATTTGGTGTTGTTGTAAAAGCAATCTCGGGGCTGCTCGGAAGAGCAATTGAGGACGGAAGCTTGAACATCCATGGCGGATGACAGTGATTGCCACGTGGGCATTGAAGAAGGAGGAGGAGGTTCGAAGTGAAAAGAAGCGGCATTGAGGAAGAATTCGTTCTCCATGATTGAACAAGCAGGAATCAAAACACAACGAACAAAGCAGAAACAAAGGAGAATTTTAGCAGGGGAGTTGAATTACACTGAAATTGAGAGGAAAATGGTTCAGGATTTCACATTAGAAGGCGCAGAGAGAATTGAAAAGGGGTAGCAATGTGAAGAGAATGGTGAATTGGGTGGAATGAAGTGAAGAACTGGAATGGAATGGGGTTTCAATTTCGTTGGATTTCAGTGAGAGAGGGAGAGAGCGGTGCGTATGGAAAAGGAAGATGAGAGAAGAAAGTGAGAAAAGCGAAGCAAAAGCGAATGGGAGAGAGAGAAAGGAAAGGAAGGGGGGAAGAAGATAGATGGGATACCACCACGGTTAAATAGACCCCAATACAGTGACGAAAACAATATTAAATTATGCTTGTATTATTATATCATTTATAATTTCTATATGCTTTGTCTTTTTCTTTTTTTAATAAAAAAGAAGATAAAATATAGAATTTAATTTAATAATGTTATTTTTTACCAGACGAAACCAGCAGGTTAAAAAAATAATATACAACCTGGTTGGCCCACCCAACGAAGTGAATTAGTCGAATTACCAGGGGTTAATTCTTACTTAACCATGCTGGGCTGATTGACAAATCGGACTAACTAAATGATTGTTTCACTGTCCTGGCCCAAAAAAAAAATTTTTTGATTGTTTCAAGTTCTAATACCATCATTTTTACATAGAATCATTAATTTTGACGGTTGAATTCATTTGTATTGAATTTAAAATACTCAAGCATATAAAAATTCTCATTGAGTTAAGCCTGTCCTAATGTATCGAGCTTTTAAACTCTTTCAGGATGACTTAAATGCTCAAATTATTTTTTTTTAAGAAAATTTCAGTTTTTATCTTAAAAGTTAAGATTTTCAATTTTTATCCTATTTTATTTTTAATTTATTAATAAAAAATATAAATTCAATTATTTAAACTAAATCTATTTGGGTTCAAGCTCATTTGAGCAATCAAAATAAGCTTGACATAGGGAAAAAAAAAATTTAACTCTCAAACTCAACCTTAAAATTTTTTGGACTTATTTAAATTGATCTATTAAGCTTGGCTAGAGTCATCAACTTAATTTTTACAAACCTAGAGATGAAGTAGAGGAAAGTAATCGATAAGAATGAAGAACTTAAGAATGCCACATGAGTATATGCGACCCAATTAATTAAAACAACAAAATTGATAAAAAATAATAATAATGGGAATTAGTGATAGGTGTAATATAATATATATTTCAGATATGAAGATTGAAATAATAAAATGAAAAAGAGAGAGGAAAATATGAATAGAATATAGGGAGGGAAGACAAGTAAGAAGAAGAGAGAAGGGCGCAAAAGACGGAGGAGTAGGAGCAGAATGCCGCGCCTTGGACGTCAAACCACCTTTTCTACTCTTCAATCTTCTTCCTTCCTTCTACTTCCCTCTCTACTCTTTTGTCCTTCTTCCCCTTTTTCAACTCTCCCTCCCTCCCTCCCTCTCTCTCTCTCTCTAGCTCACATTATCCGAATAAGCTATGACCACTTAAAACATGAGATCTTATGTTCCAATTCACATGAATATATAAAAAAACAATTTTAGATGAATTACCTTCTATATGTGTGAAGCTTTCCTGAAAATATTTTTTACATTTATATGAATTTGAACTTGAGATCTTGTATTTAAGCAGTTATAATCCCTTCTACGATGACTAATACATACTCCCTTTGTTTAAAGATGTTTTTTTTTTAGGAGTTAGATGTTAAAAAATATAAGGCATTTTTAATCTTTTTTTTTTCAAAAGTGTCCCTGATTTTATATTTATTATAAAGTGTTTAATTTGAATAAATATAAAAAGATAGGGTTGGTTTGAAAGTAGGTAACTACTTTATTGAAGGGTGAGATTCGATTAAAAATGCATTACATTTTTAAACGGAAAGATTATTAGCTTGACAACACTTCAATATGACAACATAGCATTGGATTTTATATGATCATATCAAAAATGAAATAAATTGCATTATTATTGACTTAATAATATTGTGGGATTTCAGGATTCAAAGTCCAAACTAGTAATGGATTAAAGCCGTACGTGACTCACATGAACATGAAGCTGAATGATATTGAAGTTTTCATACTGCTACATATTGTAGATTATAGTAATCATAGTTATGAATAATGTCAATGAGACACATTGAATTTTGTTTAATTTGTTATCCATGAAACCTGAATTCAACTAAACAGGGCCTGGTTTTGTAGCATAAAAAAATGATAGCTTGTATTAAGCTGCGAGGTCAGACGTTTAATATCATGTCGGAGCTGAGCAGTAACGTTGCGGGCACTTCGCCTCAATCTTGCAAGACATTGTGGTTTTTCAAACACCAACCATAAATTCACCGCTTTAAAAACGATTTAATTCATTATTATGTTATCTAAAATCCCCACACGCAATACTCAATTCATCTTGAAATTTTAAATTTAAATTTTGAGATATGCAACCACACTAAATAAAAATATTAAAAGTATTTTTGAGATAATAGCGCAGCTACCTTTGGTAAAAACAATTCCACATAACAGGGGTCTATATTAGTTTAAGTGAGTGGTAGTAATATCTTTAAATTTCATAGGATATCAGAAAATGAGATATAAAAAAAGCATTACATAGTCAAGTGTATTTGTCAAAATAACAAAAAATAGAAAATAAAATAAAAAATATTTTTAATCCTATTTATATATAAGTTTTAACATGTTTTATTAAAACTAATGAAAATTTTAAAATTCATTGACTTTGTTTGAAAATTTAATAATTTTTTTAACTTTATTTTTATTAAATGTATATATATAATAATATATTTTCTCTTTCTAACATTCAATTGAGGATACATTAAAAAATTTCAAAACAAATGATATCTTCGCATATCCTGCCTCTTTGAAACATCCTCTTTCATCTATCGCGTTAGATTATTTTCAAAAACTATTCAAAGTAGCTTCTCAAAATATCAGATATCTACTTTTTTTCAAATTCTGATTATTTTTAAAAGTTTAAACAAATATTATAAAAACTCACAGAAATAGATTTTAAAAAAATAAGTAATTTTTTCATAAAATAAATGAGCTCTCAGTAAGGTGACTTATGAATAAAATAAAAAAAACTTTTATCTTTCTACTCTATAAATAAGAAAAGAGTAGATAGGATTTAAGAGTTAGCGGCTATGCCCTTAGTCAAAAAATAACAAATAGCCTATTCCCACAACTTGGTAATGTCTTTTTATTTTATTTATTAATTATAATGATTTTAATAATCAATTAAATTAATATCACTTTAAAGCATATCAGGGTGCTGGTTTTATTTAACTATCATACAAGTTTTATTTAAGATTAATTAGTAAATAAAATCCTAAACTCGTTCTCGCAAATCGTCCTGAACCTTAAATTCTTAAAATGTGAAAAATAAAATTTAAACTTTTAAATTTATAGAAAAATAAACTCTAATTGTTAATTTTTTAATATTGTTAACTTCTACGCGAGTATTGTTTAGAGTTTATTTTTCTACAAATTTAACTTTGACTATTACAGTACCCACGTGAACAGTAACGGTGTTAAAAAAAATTAACAATCAAGGTTTTTTTATGAATTTAAAAGTTTAAGATTGATTTTATATATTTTAAGAGTTTAACATCTAGGATGATTTTTTAGCTCATTAATCTTTTTATTTAATCAATTAATTTCAAATTACTAGCTAGTAAGGTAGTAAGGTATAAGTTGATTGGTATGATAAGTAAATCAATGCACTCCTGCTCTCCTTTAAATAATACCCTACCTTTTTAATGTATGTCACTTGCCTCGAGTTTTCCCAGTCACCTAAACCTAATGCCTCAAACCAAATCAATAAAATATTTCTCTTTTTTCTAATGTTTAAATTCTAATCGTTTTAAAATAATGAACATAAATTCCGTACTTAAATAGGAGTCATAATTTTTAGAAAAAATTACAAATGAAGTCCTTGAAAAACTTGTGATAATAATTGAGAAACACAAAATTGAATACAAGAACCTGATTTTTTTTAGTTCAAAAAATAATTCTTTTACTGAAACGCCCTTCTTTAAAATGCACAATTATTTAGTGTGGAGGGTTTTTTAGTCAATTTCTTTTAAATTGTAAAAAGGAGCTATTGTCCTTAAATTTATTTTCAGGATTTTGTAATCCTCAATTGTTATTACTTATTTTCCTAAGTTCTTAATTGTGTTTTCTCCTCTTTTTTTTTTTTAATCTTCCTTTTGTCTTTAGATATACGCCCTAATATAAGTTTTTTGGTATGATTAATTTTTTTTACAAAAATACCCTTTCTAAATACATACTATCTCTGTTCGAATGCAAAACATTTTTAATTAAAACACGTGTGCCAAAAATTAGTTAGGTAATTCAAATTTAATTTTTGGTTATCTAATGTATCCCACTGGCAACTGTGAAATTAATTCTTAGAGAAACTTAACTATGGTTTAAAAGGTTTTTTCTTTCAGGAGATATTTTTTCATACACATTTTCTGGAATGAATCTTGAAATGATGTTTAAGGGCTACTGTCACGCCTACTTAGTGGAAAAATTAATTTTTTACATAATATGAAAATTCGGATACTTCCTTGATTTATGTGTTTTCCAATTTTATATTTAGAAAAAGAGAAGGTACTAGCATATGCCCAAGTTATCAAATCAATAATTTTATTTTAATATGAATTTATTCATTGGTCAATAATAGAAACAAAATTATAGTTAAAGAAGTGTGATATTTTATATAATTAGAAGAAGTCACCTCTTACCTAATCAATAATTCAATCATTCAAGGCTGTGGCCAACTGGTGACTAAGCAGCCGATAAATATGTTTTTTATTTTTTGTTGGAGGTCATTAAAGCTGGTGAAAGAATTAATGGCAACATGGCATTATCAATTAGATTTGTACGGATTTATTTTTTTAATTTTCTATAATTAGGTTTCTTTTATCACCCGTACAAGTTACTTCAACTTGTGACTCAATTTATGAGGTATGAAGAGCACTTATTGGTTAGAATTAAATTCCTTTTATTTTAATATTTTAATATTTTAATTTTTCTTCTTTACATATTTTGGATAAAAAAAGTTTATATGACTCGAATCATAATTATAATTGTTAACATTTAACATTACATAATTTTTTTTAAAAATTAATAGTTGAGAACTTTCTTAGAGTAGCAAAACATAGATATGGCATCCCCATGTTTTTTAAAATATTAATTTTAAGCTTAAAATTTATTAACTCACTATTTAACTCCTAATAGAAAT